TAACTCAACAATAAGGGTAAAGATTTTAAAACTAAAGACATGTCTTTCCCAGTTGAATCTATATTGTCATCTGCTTTGGAAACCATGAGTTTGTTCTAAAGTAAATCAAAACATCGTGAAGGAAAGCAGTTATCAAAATAATGAAAATTAACTTATTATAGTTCTCATTTGTGAATTTTAAAAATGTGACTTCATTAAATTTTGCAGGCAGAAGTTTGTGTCTTCTTAATCCAGGGAGGTGGGTGATGTGTGGAAGGGCAGGCTGAAGGCGAGCGTGTGCTGTAGCAAACTGGAGTCCCGCGGAAGGACCGTGTCACTCCCGGCAGACGGTCTGGAACATTCATGGTCTGGAACGTTCCTGGTTCCTGCATGCTGTGTCTCGGCTCATGCACTCAACATAAACAACAAAACCAAATGACCTCCAGTAAAAAGGGATCAAGTCATGACTCACCGACTTTTTTCAAACTAAGCCACTGTCTTCAGGCAAAGAACTTAAGTAGCTAAGCTTATTTGCTGTTGATAAAATAAGGAAGTTATTTGAGCCAGGTTCTCAAGGCTGAATAATGTAAAGATGACTTTCAAAGAAAAAATAATTTTTTGAGAACTCCCACAAATAAAAGTTAACCCTTATCATATTAGATGGCACTTGAAGCCAACTTGATTATAGTAAACAAACAAACAAAAACCAAACCAAAGAAAAACCCTCCCCAACTGTGAATACTGTATTTGCAGACTGTAGAAAACGGAGACGTTGAAGTAGTACTCTGATACAAGGTAGTTACCTAGATGAGTGAGAATACCATAGAGAACTGAGTTTTATGAAATTATTTATGGAATTCACAGATGCCCCTGGGGGCTAAAGAACTTAATTTAAGAGAACATTCTGGGAAATAGGTTGACTTCTCGCCCACCTTGGCTGTCTACTCAGAGTTATGCCTTACTAGTTAAACTGAGGGGATAAACTCTATCCTAGTTTCGGGGGGAAGGCTCCTTCCTGCTCAGATGAGAAGAAAGGAGGTAGAGAAGGATCACTGAGAAACTTAGTCCTTTTTGGAAAAGGATGCAAAGGAGAAGGTGAAAGACTCTGGCACATATGATCAGTTCAGAGCTCTCCCCACTAGGTCAAGGCAAAAAAGATGGTTCTGCATTTGCCTTGCTTAAACACACACACACACACACACACACACACACACACACACACACTGCTCTTTTGAAAATTTTTTTCTCTTCTCTGACTTCCTTTGCTGCTCCTGAAAATCAAATTGATCTAAATATGACCTGCGTTGGGTAAGAGTCCTGGTCTTAAGTTCTGCTGCTGCTGCTTCTTTTTTTTCCCAGTAGGCTCCGTGCCCACCCAACATGGAACTTGAACTCGCAACCCTGAGGTCAACACCTGAGCTGAGATCAGAACTCAGACTCTTAACCAACTTTGCCACCCAGGAGTACCTGTTCCTAAGGTCTTCAAGAGTGGTGTTGGAGCCGGCACGTCCACTCCCCAGCAAGGTCCTCCTTGAGTGTCTGGGTGGTTGTGATCACCAAATGCAAAAGCTCCACTGGATTGTTCAAATGCTCATTGCTCTAGTAGAGAACGACTGGAGGCAGCAAAGACACAAGGACCTGTAACACCAGTCTCCCCTGCCAGTTTGTGTAAGAGGGACCCCAGGAGAAAAGTTACAAACCATAGTCAGAGCAAACTAAAAGCACAACCAGAGTCACTTAGAAAGGCTATATGGAACTAATTATATCTTTTGAAAAATTAGGAAGTTAATGTTTTTTGTATTTAAGGAGACATTCAACCACTTATTACTTTAATTATTCAGGCAATACCCTTTTCCCAATGTAATTATGTGCTGGGTGTTGGACCAAGAGCTAAAGATACAAAAATGAACGAAAGAATTCCCTTCCTTTAAGAGCTCATAATCTGTCTGGGGGAAGGAGGAGTGGAGGCAGAATGGCAAGTGAGGGGAAAAAGCAAACAATTGAGAACTGTAATAATAGAGGCAGGTACAACCTATACAATGCCAGCACTAAGTCTTTGAGTCAAGCATCTTTTTTTTTTCCAATGGAAAAATGAGGAAGCTACATTATAACTATTTTTAATTCTCTGTATTTCACATCTGTGATAAATAAACTGGAATTTATTGCAAAGGAAAGGAGAAACTGCATTTCGAAGTTTTTCTTTTCTTTACTTTTTAAAGATTAATTTATTCACTGTAGAGAGAGAGCTAGAGAGCAGGGGAAGGGCAGAGGGAGAGGGAGTCTCCTTCAGCCCTTCAGCACTATGCACTGGGGACCTTGTTAAACAGAATTGCCCAAGAAAAGCCCACCCGCCAAAAATGTGAAAAACCTGGTACTAAGTAGATTGTGAAAAGGGCATTGTTTACAGTATGAAAGCTGAAACCAGGCAGAGCATTGTCTTGTCTGACCTTGGCTGGGAACCTGTGTGTTGGAAGATTCACATTTTTACCATTCTGCGCATGTGCATGAGTGACCACAAAATCATCCTGTGTACTGATTTTGGAGGTTAAAAATAAATTCTAGCAAGTAGACAAATTTGTAAATATGGAATCCATGAGCAATGAGCATTGGCTGTATGTGGAAAAGACAACCTTTGTTTGCTTTATTCTAGGTAGTAAAAATAAAGAGCTGGGGGGCGCCTGGGTGGCTCAGTGGGTTAATGCCTCTGCCTTCGGCTCAGGTTATGATCCCAGGGTCCTGGGATTGAGCCCCGCATAGGGCTCTCTGCTCAGCGGGGAGCCTGCTTCCCTTCTTCCCTCTCTGCCTGCCTCTCTGCCTACATGTGATCACTGTCTGTCAAATAAATAAATAAAATCTTTAAAAATAAAAATAAGAAGATGAAATATGCCAGTAATAGGCTACCTTAAGAAATTTTGGTCTCAGAATTGATAACTGGCAGCTACAATCTAAAGCAGTTGTGGCTCATGGGGAGGATGTATTTAAGCATGACCTCAAACCTCTCCGCAGGAAACGAAGACTGAGCACTCCAGGGGCACTTATCACTTACTACATGACAGGCACTGTATTCAGCAATTTACATGCACTATGAAATTACATCCTCCGAAGTTCTCGGAGGAAACGCATAGGTTAGAGAAGTTAAGGGCCTTACCCATTATCACGTAGTTAGAAGTGGCAACACTGAGACTTGAACTCAGGTCCCCCTGATTCCAGAGCCCGAATTCCCAACTGCTAGGCAACTCTAACCAAGTTTTTTTTTCTTTCTTTCTTTCTTTTTTTTTTTTTTTTTTTTTTGAAGTTCAACTTAACTCAGAAGTGTATAGGAGCATTATGTTACAACGATTATAACGTTATCAGGATTTATACATAGAAAAACAGATTTACCAAATAAAACTTTATAAGCCTGATCTGATATTGTTCCACAAGCAAAAGTATCTGAAATCCTTCAGGGCATCTGGTTTGTGTCTGGGTTTCCTTAATCTTTAATGATGGGCAAATCTAATGCATTATGTAAGGCCATTTTTTCTCAAGAGATGTAGATACCTCTTAAGAATTTGATGAAAATGCATTAACTTTTCAGGCTACTGAGTTGCATTTTAGTGCACTGAGGCGGTAAATGAGTGTACAATGTGCAAAAGTGGTAGTGACCTAAAAAATAAATATTTGATATGAGCCACTGCATTCTCCTGGGGCGGGGGAGGAAGAATAATGGACTAAGTCTCCCCGGAGTCCTTAGCTTCCTAAAAAGGAGCAGGAAGAAGAAATCTCCTGTGGCTTAGAAACGGCTTGTTTCTCACTGGCTCTGTTTGCTTAGCTCTCTACCAGCTCATGTGGTTAGATCTCGTGGCTCCCCAAGCTAAGGTTGAGAGTTTGATCCCTGCACAGGCCATTTAAATTTGGAGAACAAAAAGCTCCATTCTCTGCTCCCAGACCTTACCCCAAATCCCTGCCAGGTGTCTGCCCTCTGGTCAAAATGAGATACTGGCAAAGGGGTGCGAACCAATTATAGTGTTGGGGGACAAAATATGGTGCCCCCTTACTATGGTGCTCTTTTGCTTGCATGTGCCACAGCATTCTGACATAATTTATGGAGAACAGATACTATGCTTTTTACCTTTATCAATGGAAATCTGAGGAAACTGTGGTAAGTGCTGCATTGCCCGTCATAAACCCCATTATCTTATTCTAAGTTCAGAGATTTTTCTACTAGTTGACATTATCCTCTTAGTAATAAACAATGAAAAAACAGATCTTCTAATTAATATTAATCTGCAACTTTAGAATAGGAAATAGCTGAATAGTAATTGGCCAAAAAGTGAGCACAATCTTTATATTAAAAAAAGACATTAAATTATTTCAAAATAATTCCATGTATAACTTTATAATAAGTTGATTTTTAAAACACCTAAGCACTTAATCAAGTTTCTCCAATTATAGCTGAAAATCTTTTACTTGTACCACAATCTTACCTTTTCTTTTAATTCAGGTCTTCCGTATTTAAATTCATATTTCCCTAATTACACAGCACTAAACATAATTTAATACAATAAATAAAATTCTTTTTACTTCAAATCCTTGTATAAATAATAGATAATCATTTTAACTTTTGAGGAAACAACATTTCAACTTTTTAAGTATGAAGTGTAAAACTAAGATTTACCTATTTAAATTACAGCTTGAATTTCACATATAAAGATTAATCAGATTTAAATGTACTTTCTATTATTGTTAACATAGACTTTAATTCTTCAAATGTCACATATATCTTTCATTATTTGTAGATTTATTTCTTTTATGAAGTAGTCGAATGAATCAGCTCACCCTTGACTGTAACAAAATACTGTTTGGTGACTTGTGACAGACAGGGTTTTAACCTCTGACAGCGAGATTCATTGTGGAGCAAGAGCCAATCATAGATCCTGACGACACTTGTCTCATCAAAGTTGGAATATAAAAAGCCACTTGGAATACAGTATAAAAGATTCACTGGTGTGGCAAGTTGTCCCTCAGACTGTACAGGCATTAAAATTTTGCTTGGCATTACTCAAAAGCAAAACAAGAGTAAAAGGAAGAAATAAGAACAAGGAAAAAGATTGAACTGATTTAAAATCATGCAGAAACTGCAAATTTATGTTTATATTTACCTGTTCATGCTGATTGTCGCTGGTCCAGTGGATCTAAATGAGAACAGTGAGCAAAAAGAAAATGTGGAAAAAGAGCGGCTGTGTAATGCATGTACTTGGAGACAAAACACTAAATCTTCAAGGATAGAAGCCATAAAAATTCAAATCCTCAGTAAACTTCGCCTGGAAACAGCTCCTAACATCAGCAAAGATGCTATAAGACAACTTTTGCCCAAAGCTCCTCCGCTCCGGGAACTGATTGATCAGTACGATGTCCAGAGAGATGACAGCAGCGATGGCTCTTTGGAAGACGATGATTACCACGCCACGACGGAAACCATCATCACCATGCCCACCGAGTGTGAGTAGCCCTCTTAGTGTATATCGACAATTTTGCTGACTGCGGTTCTAGTGTTTATGAGAAACAGATCTATTTTCAGGCTCTTTTAACAAGCTGTTGGCTTGTATGTAAGTAGGAAGGAAGAAAAATCTTTTTCAAGATTTCATGCAAAATACACTAATGAGACTGAAGTCTGGGGCATTATTTGTTTCGCTGGAGAGCTAGAAAGCCAAGAGGAAATAAAAATTAAACGCTTGCATGGCACTCGTGTTTAGTTTACTATAACAAGCATAACGTGCTTACGCTTCCACAGCTTAGGGCTACCAAGGCAATGCTTGGGAGATACTACAAGCAATGTTAAAACCTTATGTGAAATTTCATAATTGCATTCAGTTGCCTGAAATATGCATTTGAAATAATGAGGATTTCCCCCCTCTAATAATAGAGAAAGGGCTTCTTTTGAGCATTTGCTAAATGCCTAGAATTTCTGTTATTCAAAACCATTTCTCACAGTGTTATGTTCTTCACAAATTAAAATAATCTTGAGAGCTAGGACACTGGAGAGTAAAAAAAAAAAAAAGTTTTAAAAAATTTGATGTATGAGGAAGACCAGTGATGAAGTAAACACAGCACAATGATCGTCATGAGCTAAGTGTCAGAAAATGCCTGGGAAATACACATTTTAATTAAGTAGGTTATGGCTTAAGAGTCCCACTTATACCTTGACTGCGGCACTATTACTGGGAGACCCTGGTGTGCATACCTCTGGGCAGGCACACTGCTTCATAAGCCTCTAAAATATTGTTTTCGTCTTCATGAGAGGGAGGAAGCTCTCACCTGCGGTACGTACCTTGCTTCTGAAAGATGGTGTATTTCACCCCATTCCTTTTGCAGTCACAGAGCTCTGAACTCTGCTCAAGGAAAGGCAGACAGGCACCTCTACCGAGAAGGCAAGACAAGCAAGCTTTTATGCCATGTGCCTGGGGTCTTGCTTTAAACAGTGCTTTTTATACTTTTTAAACTGGACTGGAAACAGTTTCAAAATAATTGTTTTCCTTATTAGGTAGTCACGTTATAACGCAGCAAATAATTTTCCTTCAAGACCCTGCTATCAAACAGTCATGGAGGACATTCCCCTGATTTGTAAACAATCTTGGAAAACCAGAAGGACAGAAACTGCTCCTGCTTCTGCTTACAATGACAACCTGGCTCTGAGGACAGTATTTTCTAACTTCTGAGGCAGCCTGAATGTAACATTCACATTTTGGGGCTAATTACCTGATTCGTTTTGTTCCTTTAGGCTTCTTCCAGAGCCAAAATGTAGCAGATGTGCTATATTTTCTACTAATTCCCCAGGCTCAGCTAGTTGCTCAGTGTGTCTTGACCCCAGGTGATTCAGGCCTGGGGGAAGGGTTCCTCCTTCCAGACTGATTGGTGCAGCTGCTCAGTCAGTGGAACTACTCAGATTCCCAAAGAATTCTAAGTGGATGTTCCTGCACGGTGTCTCTTGTTCTCTCTAATCACCATCATTTTAAAATTTCATCCACTCTTCATTCTTTCATAGAATTCTCTTAGTCCACGCTTCTCTGGAGAGGGAGTAGGTTCCTTATAAATAGCCGAAAAAAGTATGTATGTAAAAAATTCTGAAAAGCCGCTGAAAAGTAATTATTTTCTTTGATATTTTTCTGACTTATGAATGAAATTCTGCGTGGCTTTTCACTTTAAAATATGCATTTACTATTCCAGTGGGAAAAAATGTTTACCAATTTATATAAAGGGACTTGCTCATTTTTTATGAGAAATAATTTCCATAACTATTTTTCTTTTCTTATTCATTTATAGCTGATCTTCTCATGCAAGTGGAAGGAAAACCCAAATGTTGCTTCTTTAAGTTTAGCTCTAAAATACAGTATAATAAAGTAGTAAAGGCCCAACTGTGGATATATCTAAGACCCGTCAACACTCCTACAACAGTGTTTGTGCAGATCCTGAGACTCATCAAACCCATGAAAGACGGTACAAGGTATACTGGAATCCGATCTCTGAAACTTGACATGACCCCAGGCACTGGAATTTGGCAGAGCATCGATGTGAAGACAGTGTTGCAAAATTGGCTCAAACAGCCTGAATCCAACTTAGGCATTGAAATCAAAGCTTTAGATGAGAATGGTCATGATCTTGCTGTAACCTTCCCAGGACCAGGAGAAGATGGGCTGGTAAGTGATAACTGAAAATACCATCTAACAACAAACATTGTTACATTTTTATAAATCATGTGAATGAGTAATAGTGAAAAAATCACCACCCATTTCCTAGGCTTACAAGCGAGACAAAGGTTATCTTACTCCAACGGTAGCCCTGTACCTAATAAAAGTAGGGTGTCTAATTTCATATTCTATGAAACACCCTCTTGATACTTTTATTTTGCATGAAGATTAAAAAAAACAGTTATGCCATGGTCCTTAACTTCTGTGGGAGTTCTTTTGAATTGGAGTTGAAATATAAATTGCTTTTCATTGATACGTTACATGGTTACATGAATAAAAATGTGAAATCTTCATAGTGGATTCTACTACAGATCCAACAAATCAAAACTTTTCTTTCCTCTGAAGAATGCCAAATGTGTTGAAATTTTTTGGTTTAAATAAGCAGAAAAAACAAACTTGAAAAATTACAGTGAAAATTAAATGCTTTTATATATAGCAGTTAACTAAGTATGATAGGTTTAGGCTTACATCTTATTAAATATAGTATACTTAAGGTCCTTCATGATAAATATGTTGACGATAGTGCAGACTGTCCATGCACTGATGTATATGTAGGTAACTTTGTGAATTACCACTAATAACATTTAAATTTCCAGGCTAGTTAACCCTTATTACCTAGCTTATTTCTAAGCTGCCTTACCATTTTTGTGCTAGAGTTTACTTAAGTAATGCCAACTAATTTAATAATATCAGGCCATGCAGATGACAATACTTCACGTATCATAAACATTTATAAAAAACTATTTTAAACCCTAGTATAAATTTAGAGTTACTCACTCTTCTGGCTTACCTGTGCTTTCCTGAACTTATTTAATGTGACCATCTTTTTATTTCCATCTATTGACATAATGTGGAACAGAAGATTATACTTGCAAACAATAAAGGCTATCTTTCTAAGTTTTTAAATGTTTTTGTTGTAAAGAGTACATTATTAGTAAGTCAATCTACTTCGAGTAAAAACATATTCTTTAGAAGTTTATGTAGTTTTCCAAAAGATTTGTCTTTGAATATGCTACCTAAAATGTGATTGACTCACAAAATGATGCTATTTTTAAAATAATGTTAAATAACAATAATTACCAGGTCTATTTTGATTTTGATATAGGATAAAAACTTATGAATTATTTAAGAAAGTATTCTTTTTTACAGGTAGCATTTTAATGATTAACGTTGGTAATGCGACAGAAGCTTTAAGCATTATTAAACAGATTATTATTAAACAAATTAAATATAATTACTAATGACACATTCCTCAGATTTTTCTATATAAAAGGAAAAGTCTCAAATGCATTAAGAGACGGGGGCAAGGGAGGAACCAGAAAATTATTGTTTAAATTTATGAGCAGAAACATTCTTCAGTGAAAGAATGAAGTGAAATAATATTGTATCTTCTGAATCTGTGCCTTGCTCTCTTAAAAGTTTTTCTTTCCGACCCAATATGCATGCCACTCCTTTCACTACCCTACCTTTCTTCTTCCTGCTACAACCCGTGTAGTGCTGGGCGGTGTTCAGAGCCAAGTTTCCCCGAGTAAAGATCTAGGGACCAGAGGAAGGATGAGTACAGCTATTCCTCTGGGAGTCCTCAGGCGTTTTTAGCCAACACATTTAATGAGGAAGAGAGAGAACGAAGCTCTTCCTTCCTCTGGTCTGTCTTCCCTCCTCTTCCCCTTTCCTCCCTCTGTCCCTTTATTCCCATAAATATTGTCAGAACGTCTATCATGTGCCAGGAAGCTGGGGAAAATAGAAATTAAAAAGACCTAGATCTGACCGCAGGGAGTTAGAATTGCTGTTATATTCTTGGGAGCCATAAGGGAGGAATTGAGCCTAGTGTACATTAAAATTCCTTAAGTCTCTGTCTTTGAAAAATAAATGTTGTATAAGCAAAATGATTAGACAAAATGATTAGTTTCTTCAATAATGACTTCTGGAGGGAGGGAAGCGTTTCGGGACTTCTCACTATTACTGATGGTTATTTTCCTTCTCACCCAGAATCCCTTTTTAGAAGTCAAGGTGACAGACACACCGAAAAGGTCCAGGAGAGATTTTGGGCTTGACTGTGACGAGCACTCAACAGAATCTCGGTGCTGTCGTTACCCCCTGACTGTGGACTTTGAAGCTTTTGGATGGGATTGGATTATTGCGCCCAAAAGATACAAGGCCAATTACTGCTCTGGAGAGTGTGAATTTGTGTTTTTACAAAAATATCCCCATACTCATCTGGTACACCAGGCAAACCCCAGAGGCTCGGCAGGCCCCTGCTGTACCCCCACAAAGATGTCGCCCATTAATATGCTATATTTTAATGGCAAAGAACAAATAATATACGGGAAGATCCCAGCCATGGTGGTAGATCGCTGTGGGTGCTCATGAGATTTATACTTGGCTCATAACTTCCTAAACCATGGAAGGCCTTCCCCTCAACAATTTCGAAACTGTGAAATTATGTACACGGGCTATAAGCCGAGAGTAGCTACCATCACTTACGCACAAGCTCCGTCTATGGACTAAGAGAGAATATATGCAATGGTTGGCATTTAACCATCAGAATAAACCACACGATAACAAGCCTTAATGATTTCCAGGGTTTTTGAACGAGGAGATCAAATTACGTCTATGTCCGTATATATTACAGCACATCCAGGTAAATGAAGCAATTCTCCCGTGTTCTGGTGAATTAAAGGAGTATGCTTCAAAGCCTATTTCTTTACAGTACCATTTAATACCTACAGAAAAACCTATAGTATTGGTAAAATGCAGGGTTGTTATATACCATCATTTGAATCGTCCTTAAACACTTGAATTTATATTGTATGATAGCATACTTGGTAAGATGAAATTCCACAAAAATAGGGATGGTACCCCATTTGTAAGTCCCCATCCCTATTGTGATCAGTACAGTACATTAACAATCCATGCCAATGGTGCTAATTCAATATGCTAAATGGCTGATATTATCAGGTTTATCAAATAAAAAACATACAGTAAAATAATAAGTTTCTCCTTTCTTAAGGTGCATTTTCACACACCTCCAAATGGGGAATGGATTTTCTCTAATGAAAGAAGAATCATTTTTCTAGAGGTCAGCATTCAATTCTGTAGCATACTTGAAGAAACTGTGTTATCTTAAAGGGCAGCCAAAAAGTATTCGTTTTTAATCAGGATTTCAAAATTACAGCCTGCCTTTGCAACACTGCAGTTTTTATGATAAAATAATGGAAATGGCTGATTCTATCAATATTGTATAAAAAGACTTTGAAACAATTGCATTTATGTAATATGTATACAAAATTGTTTTGTAAATAAGTGTCTCCTTTTTTATTTACTTTGGTATATTTTTATGGTAAGCACATTTCAAATTAAGTATTAAGGCACAAAGATATGTCATGTATCACAGAAAAGCAACTGCTTATACTTCAGAGCAAATTCGCAGATTAAATAGTGGTCTGAAAACTCCATATGCTAATGGTTAGATGGTTATATTACAATCATTTTACATTTTTTTACATTATTAACATTCACTTACAGATTCATGATGGCTGTATCATGTGAATGTGAAATTTCAATGGTTTACTGTCATTGTATTCAAATCTCAACGTTCCATTATTATCATAGTTATATTATTAAACATCCCAAAATGGTTTAACTCTATTATCTCAAATGCAAAATAATAAACTGATGATACCTTAACAAGAATTGTTAATCTTATTTTATAATTTGATAATGAATATATTTCTGCATATATTTACTTCTATTTTGTAAATCAGGATTTTGTTAATCAAATTCATTGTACTTATGACTAAGTGAAATTATTTCTTACACTTAATGTGTAGAAACAATATAAATTATATTAAAGTGTTTTCACCTTTTTTGAAAGATACAACAGTTTTATGTTATAATGACTAATTCTGGATTTCTGACTTCACTTTTAGCATAAAAGTTTGGTTTGGGAATTTCAGGTCTGCTACTAGAGTTCTCATGAGTGAAATTCTTGTTAAATTGGTTCTGGTTAAGTTGCTTTAAATATATGAAAGAAAGGACTAGTTATACTTGTTTCATTTCTCTTTATCTTGACCTGAAAACTATTTATATGTTTTCATAGGTTCAATTTCCAAATGCATTGCAGTTGGCAAGGGTATATAGTCCTAGAGTTACAAGTTCTAATGAAATCACAGGGACACAGGGAAGCTGCATTTTTTTCTTAGCACTTAATGATACTGGCACATTTATCTGAGCTTTGAGGGCATAATTTTCAAATTAAATTGAAAAACAATTATAAAGTATCTAGAAATCCTTAAGTGTAACATTGTATATAATGTCTTTGAAGTGGATTCTCTTCACTACTCCTTATCAGTTTAGTAACTTAGCTATAAAGCAGTCACTAAATCTAATGGAAGAGGTTATTAAAATTCTACCTAGTGTATGACTCCTAAATAAGTAATTTATAATTAATATAAATGTGATTTTTAACCATCAATGATATTACAGCAATTTACACTCATACAAACAAGTGTAGTACTTTTTCTAGTTTTAATACTGAGACGTTTAACATCGACGAGTCTGGAGCTGTCTCTGTGAATGGGACGAACGATGGGGATGAGGTGAGGCCACTTCGAATTACATACACTAGAAGCTATACTTCTAGGGTCATGAATATACCTGATCCAGAAGTCTGGGTCAGTAGGCCCATGAAATACCTTAGGCTCTGGAGGACAAATAACTGGGGACTTTGACCTCTACGGTGTGAGGAAGGAACACCTTCATTTTCTAGACCCCATTACAGAACTCCCTAATCTTTACACTCATCCTTCCCATGCAGCCCCAGGATCCCATCACCAATTTCACCATGTGGTAGCCCTCTTGAAACCAATATGACCATGAAAAAACATCAGGACCAATGTCTTTTGTAACAGGACCTGGGCATTTCCTTTTCTATTTTGCCTGTGTCCCAGAAATGGCAAGTGTACTCATCACTTTCATTTAAGTACCCCAAGAATATTCACTTATATCATACTAATCTCTGAGATTTTCAGAAAACACCATGTGAAGTTCTATGTGGTGCATCAGTTTTAATATTCTGACTATTTTGTAATATTTCTCTTACTTCCCACTAACCTATACTAGTTAAAAATACATATATAAATATAAAAACAAAACCCTCCCAAACTCTACTCATTTTTTAAAAGATTTTTATTTATTAACTTACTTGTTGGGGTGGGGGGAGAGAGAGAGGGAGAGCATAAGCTTGGGAAGCAGCAGGCAGAGGGAGAAGCAAGCTCCCCACTGGGCACGGAGTCCAATGCCAAACTCGATCCCAGGACCCTGGAATCATGACCTGAGCCGAAGGCAGGTACTGAACCAACTGAGCCACCCAGGCATCCCTACTCTACTCTTTTTGTATTCAGTTTGGTTTTTGCACTTTTGTATAGAACCTATTTTCTTAAAAAAAAAAAAAAGGCAGTAATTTGATATTGACAGTAATTAAAGGAGAACTAAATTATTCTATCCCCAAAATGAGAACAAATTATTTCCCTTTAAACCATGACAGACACATTTTAGGATGTCAATGATCCTTTTGGAATCTGTTGAAAACTAAAGACAGTCTCAGAAGAAATAAAACTCAGCTTTGCATACAGTTTCAGGGAATTTAGGGCCTTCCTAGAACACGTTCATAGAACCTGGTTTACAAACTCTTGTATTTTTCTTCTGAAGACAAAATTTTTTTTTCATGAAATTATACAATATATTTATAATGACTGCTTCCCAATTAATGAGCTTTATTCATTAAACAATTTGGGTGTTGCTAAAGGAAAATAAATTTCAAATCAGCGTGGATGTCTTAACATGGCTAAAATTCCTTACTATATACCAAAACATTTTGCTCTTAAAGATCATCCAAACACCAACTGACAACTCTGTGATCGATTAAACTAGACAACTAAATAAAAAGGACTTCAAAGTATGAAATCATATTTATGTGTCAAAAACGAAACCAGGCTATCATCAAGGTTACTGATGTGGGGGTGTCTGAATTAGGAGGGTATGAGATGATAATATTTATTGAGCACCAGAATTGTGCCAGACACTTCTGTGACATGCTCAGCATGCAAGACATTGTTGTTCCCAGTTCGCAGATGAGAACTTTGAGAAACTGTGACAATGGGAGGTATCTTAGTGGGCAGCCTGGGTGTGAACGAAGAGCGGTTTGACACAATGATTCATTACTCTGGTTGTAATTCTTCACCAAGCCCTAATGGAAGAATGAAACTATATTTGTTAATGTTTATATTTTGGAATGTATCCTTACTGGATTCTGCATTGGTTTCTGCCAAAGGTTGTGTGGTTGCATTATAGTAAGAGAAGGTAAAGCTGGTATTAACAAGAAGGAGGACAAAGAGAGGATGATAACCAATGAAGAAAAATGTGCATACGGAGATGGAAATGGGTCAGCGTCATAGGATATGAGACCTGGAACGGGTCTTAAAGATCATCTAATTTACATAAAATTGAATTGAGGTCTAGGGAGAGGGTTGCCCAAAATTATAAAGAGAATTGGTTCAGGAACTGAGATAAAAGCTCTAAAACGCTAGACAAGAGTGCATGGTGGCTAAGATTGAGAAGAATGATTTCAAAGGACAAAATGCAGGAAAGTTAAAAACAAAAACAAAAAAGCTCCAAGTCATGGTCTGTTAGCTGGGAAAATCCAACATAAGACATTAAGTAAATGTTCATAAGATTATCACGATCTACATCTATTGAAACAGATCTTTTATCAACTTGGAGATTTTCTTGGACGGATAGACCCTAAGAGGAAATTTATTGTCAGATGCACCTAAAACCATTAGTTTATTGCATACAGTAACAAAAAGTTAAAAGTAATAATATAATAATAACTAAATTTTCAAAGTTCTTTCACATTAATGATGTAATTTTATCTTCATAATGCTGAAAGTTCAGTATTATTATGGTCATATTCATTTCAAAAAAGGAACTGAGGCTAAACAAATTAAACTGCCCAAAGAAACAGCATTTATATTTATATACTAATTATATAAGAAATAGAAATCCAGATCAGTTACACTTTTTTGATCATTTATTCCAATATTACTTATTAAAAAGGTAGCATGATAAAAATTCATTTAAATATCAGATGCTCACTTTTTAAAATGAGACACATGAATACTGCCCTATAATATATTTAAGAAATTAAACCATAGTCTAAAACGTGATATGCAATCATTACTTGCCTGGCATGTAAGGAATAGTGTTGAAATTTTCATTCCCATGGTCATTCGGTTCTAGTTTACACACTGTGAAACATATCAAAGTAAACTATACTCATTTTGGTCATTCCTATGTAAGATCTCAAGCAA